AAAACTCGATCAATTAACAACTTATCAATCAGGACTTCAATCAAGTATGTATAGGCTACATTTAAAGTATCTGATGAATGATTCCTTGTACTTCTAAATGTTATATGAATATCAATAATTATCATTTGTTCAGTTAGCTTTACAAATTTCCTTCAGAGTGAAAGAGGACTTACTTGTTTATGAGGTTATTACAAATTATGAAGCTCAACGGTTATTTAGTAGACTTCAAACCTACCGTGTTAGAAACATGAATGGCAAAGTACCGTTGCATCTCCTGAACACACGCAACTGAACTTACAATGGCTAGAAGCTCTTCAGTCTAACAGTTAATTAAATCTCTCCAACTATAAAAAGTGCAAAGACATTGAATGAAGTATTGAATACGCGAGCTACCTTTTGTTGAAATATTTATTGTTGCATTCAATACTCTGTTTTTCATCGAGCTTTAGTGTTTATTACTTATTTACTCTGTAAGAGAGTTTGATATACCTTTTACTCATTTTCTAAGAGTAATTCAAGAGTGTGGACTCTTGAGAGGGATTGTCACCTTATGGGTAGTAAGGGGGAGTGATTGAGAAATCATTTATTGTACTGAGATGCCAAGATCCCATTTAATCCTGGGATTATAGTGAAAATCTCATAGATGTTTTGAAGACTAGACAAAGGTCAAGTGGTTAAAGACTGAACCAGTATAAATCTTGTGCCTTCGCTTTGTGGTGAAATTCTTCCAACTCAACCTTCTCTGTTTTATTTACAGCATTGTTTCAATACATTAAATTTTTATAACTCACCTAATTCACCCCCCTCTTGGGGAAACTGCAACTAATATTTGGTATCAAAGTAGGTCTCTTCAGTAAAGATTTAACAGTCTAAAGAGAGATCCTATGGCAGGTTTCGGAGACAGTGTGCTACTCGAAGGATGTTCAACATCAAAGCCACCTGACTTCAATAGAGAGAACTACACCTTCTGGAAGATGAGGATGAAGATCGTCATCAAAGCTACTGAATACGGATTACGGGACGTGATCGAGCATGGCAACTATATTCCAATAAAAGCTGTAGAAGGTCAACAAGTTCGTAAAAGCCTTAAGGAGTTTAATGAAGAAGAGAAGAGGTTGGTGGCATTGAACGATGAAGCTATCAACATACTGACCTATGCCTTGAGTCAAAAAGAATATTTTTGAGTTTCTAGTTTAGAAACTGCAAAGGAAATGTAGGAGGCACTGGAAATTGTCCATGAGGGAACAACCGATGTGAAACAAAGTAGAATCAACACTCTCACTACAGAGTTTGAATTGTTCAAAATGAGAGATGGAGAGAGCCTTCGAGATATAGAAGTTAGATTCTCACATCTCATAAATCACCTCATTGCACTCGGCAAAAAGTATAGCCAAGAAGATAAAGTAAGGAAAATCCTAAACGGTCTCATGAAGGAATGGGAGCCGAAAGTAACAACCATTGAGAAAATGAAGGGAGAATCAATTAGCTCTATTGCAACATTATTCGGAAGTCTAGTAGAGTATGAGAGCAAACAGAAATACAGGAAGGAGATTAACAAGAAAAGTCACAAGGGTATTACTCTTAAAACTCAAGAAAGTGATGAGGATGACGAAAAGGACCTGGAGGACAATGAAATGGGTCTTATAGTCAGAAGATTCAAGAAGTTTTATAGAAACAAAGCTGAAAGGAGGTTTCAATCAAAGCGTAAAGCCTCTATGTCTCAAAATGAGCCCAAGGATCCAATCATCTGCTTTGAATGCAAAAAGCCGAGACACATCAAAGCAGAGTGTCCTTAGTTATCCAAGATAAAGGACAAAGAAAAGAAGAAAGAGAAGTTCAAAAAGAAGAAGGCCTTTGTAACGTCAATCTGGGGAGGCAGTTCTTCAAAGGAAGAAGAGAGAGATGATGAAGAGACAGCTAACATCTGTCTTGTGGCCCAAGAAGACGGAGATTTAGAAACAAATGAGGCAATCATTTCTGAACTGTCTTACGATGAATTATAATATGAATATAATGCATTACATTCAGAATTAGTAAGAATTGCAAAGGAGTTGGTAAGCTCCAAGAAAAAGATAAAGCTTCTGGAGGAACGCAAGTGAAGCAAACAGACATCACACCTCCAGTACACATAAAATGTGAGCAAAACAAAAAAAAAAGCCGAGGAGCTCACAAAAACCTTGGAGAAATTCACTAGGGGCAGTGAAATGCTCAAAGTAATTCTAGAAGCCCAACGGTGCTTGATAGATAAAACAGGAATAGGATATGATCCTACTCAAGATAAGAGGAAAGGGAAGAAGAAAAGGGGTGGTCAGTTGTATCTTACATTTTTTAGATATGTAGTTCATTCCTCTAATCCTTTTGCATTATATTCTTATTGCACCCTAAAGGTCATACAACCTTTTATTATCATCACAAGAAGAAAGGGACTTACGAGACATTAAAATGGATGCCCAAAGGTACTTATGTACCCAGGACAAACCATACTAACAAAAAAAGACCCAAGAAAGTATAGGTACCTAAAATGTGATTGTTTTGTGTTACAGGTATGTCTCAAAGCATCCAGGAAAAATAAGTGGTACATTGACAGCAGATGCTCCAGACACATGATGGGTGACACTGAGAAGTTCTCGTTACTCAAACCAAAAGAAGCAGGCAAAGTAAGCTTTGGTGGAAATCAATCTGGAAGAATAGCTGGAATCAGAGAAATAAGACGTGACAAAGGGATGAAGGTTGAAGATGTCTACTATATAGAAGGTCTATGTCACAACTTGCTCAGTGTCAATTAGAGTACTGACAAGAACAATTGGGTGATGTTCGATTCAGAAGAATGTCTAGTCATAAGCAAAGATGACTTGCAATTGAAGAAGGAAGAATTAAATGTAAAATTGAGAGCTCCAAGGGACAGTAACTGCTATACTATTCAAATTGACTCAAAACTTTCTGAAAACTGCTTTGTTAGCAAAAATGAAGAAAGTTGGCTTTGGCATAAATGTCTCCCTCATGTTAATATGAATCAACTTTCAAAATTAACAAAAAGAGACTTAGTAGTTGGTTTGCCCAATTCAATTTGGACATAATGTTGTTTGCGATGCTTATCAGAAGGATTACCATAGGCTTGGTCATCCTGCATTTGATACTATTAAGTCTATCTTACGTAATGCTGGAATTTCCTTTTCTGATTTTGTTGTATTACCTCTTTGTAAGGCTTGTCAATGTGGGAAAGCTCATAAGCTTCATTTTTCTCCTTCTAATATTGTATACAATAGGCCTTTGCAGTTAATATCAATAGATTTGTGGGGACCTACCCTTGTTCCTTCTCATGGTTACTCATATTATATAGCATTTGTGGATGCTTTTAGTTGATTTACATGGATTTACCCTTTATACAAAAAATTTGATGCATTGTAGAAATTTAAAGATTTTAAAACCTTGGTTGAAAATTGTCTTAGTGCAAAAATCAAGGTTATTCAGTTAGACAATAGGGGTGAGTTTTTAAGTTTCAAGAAATTTGTTATAGAATGTGGGATTGAATGTAGATTTACATGCCCATATAGCCTTGAGCAGAATGGATTAGTTGAACGCTGTCATCGCTTGATTGTTGAAACTAGCCTATCACTTCTAGCTCATGCTACACTTCCACTATTTTATTGGAGTGATGTGTTTTGCACTGCAGTGTTTTTACTAAATAGACTTCCCTCTACTGCGCTAAAAGGACCTACACCCTTTAAGAAACTTTATAGTGTTAAACCAGACTACTGTATTCTCAAGGTGTTTGGTTGTGAATGCTTTCCACTTATTCACCCTTACAATAAGCACAAACTTGAATTCAGATATGCACAATGTATATTTTTGGGATATAGTTCATAGCACAAAGGGTATAATTGCCTTGATATTCAGACCGGCCGCATCTTTGTTTCATGAATGTGAAGTTTAATGAATTGCTGTTTCGTAAAATATCTCAAGCCAATGTCAGACAACTTGCTCAGAATAATGAAGTAGATGCAAGTTTTTCCTCTTTCTGCCCTGTCACCCCTCCCTCTAAAACCTCTATAACTCCTATATCTTCTCCTTCTATCTTACCTTTCCACATAGCTTCTACCAACTCAAACACTACATCATCTTTTGCTACCTGTAATTCACCTTCACCTATGCCTACTTTACCTGCCACTTCATTTGATTAATCATCATCCTCACCTTCCAACCCCAAAAATCCCATACCTGCTGCAACTATAGACCAACCTCATCCACCTCCCGTTAATTATCTACCCAATAACACCCATTCTATGATTACTAGAGGGAAAGCTAGAGTTTTTAAACCAAAAGTATTCTTAGCTATTACAAATAATTTTGTTCCAACTACTATTGAGCAGGCTTTTACTTTTCCTCATTGGAAACAAGCAGCTAAAGATGAATACAATGCTCTGTTAAAATTTCAAACTTGGGAGGTTGTACCTTTGCTTCCTGGACGAAGAGCTATTGGATGCAAGTGGTTGTTTAAAACCAAATTAAATGCTAATGGTACACCAACTAGATATAAGGGTAGACTAGTAGCAAAAGGCTATGTTCAAAAGGCAAGATGTGATTATACAGATACTTTCAGCCCTGTAGTAAAAGCTGTTACTGTGCGTATTGTCCTTACTATTGCTGTCACAAATGGGTGGAAATTGCATCAAGTTGATTTTAACAATGCTTTTTTGCATGGTGATTTACAAGACGAAGTGTGTATGGAGCAGCCATCTGGTTTTGTCAAGCCAAGCTTTGATAAGTGTACCCTTGTCTGCAAATTAAATAAGGCTATTTATGGCCTTAAACAAGCACCACGTGCTTGGTTTACAAAACTTGCACAAGTACTAAGTTCACTTGGTTTTTGCACATCTAAGGCTAATTCTTCTCTCTTCATTCATCAATAAGGTTCAAATATAACCTATCTTTTGGCCTATGTTGATGATCTCATGATTACTGGCAGCTCTGAAGTTACTGTTTAGAAGCTTATTAACAGTATGAGTGCTATGTTTTCTCTAAATGACCTAGGAGAACTCTCAATTTTCCTTGGTATTGAGTTTACTAAAACTACCTTATTATTACTGCTCACTCAACGAAAATACATTGAGCAACTTTTGCAGAAGACTAATTTACTCCTCATTACTCCTTATGCAACACCTATGGCTGTAAATGTTCATTTACATGCTGGTGATAGTGAAAATTTTTCCAATCCTTCTTTATATCGTAGTGTTCTTGGCACACTACAATATATGTGTTACACTCGTCTTGACATTACCTTTACAGTTAATAAACTTAGTCAATTCAAGCATGAGCCTACTGTAAAGCAATGGAATTGTGTTGAAAGGTTGTTGCGTTATCTCAAGGGTACTAGCACATATGGTCTACTTATTAAACCAGCACTTCATTTTTGTGTTCAAGCTTTTGCTCATGCAGATCATGGGGGAAGTCATTTTGATCAAAGATCAACTAGTGGGTTCTGCACTTATCTTGGACTAAATCCCATCACATGGACCTCATGCAAGCAGCAAGTTATTGCTCAATCAGTGTAACATCCCGATTTTTAGGCCTAAACGTACTAGAATTAGCCTAAAATAGATAGACTACCAGAACCCTTATGGCAAGAGTCCTAGAGGTTTCCCTGGAAGGACAGAGGGATTCCCAGGGACTTAATCGCAAAAGAAAAGTTTTTGGGACTAAGGGAAGAGAAAGTTAGAGACTTGAATGAAATCTCAAGGCCTAAGAATAAGAAGTTGAGGTAAGTATAGGCCAAAGATTATGTTGAAGGCCTCAATGAGGTAAATTATGGGGTAAAGTCAAACCAGTGGCAAAATCATAATTTTGTAAAGTTTCGGGTCGGCAAGGGCAAAAGTGAAAATTATGCCCAAAAATTCTAGAAAAATCCCAGAAAATGAGAAATGGCATGTTAAGGCCTGTATATGAAGAAAAATAACAAAAATGCCCTTGGATTGACTTTAAATGAATTTTTAAGATTAAGGTATAAAGCTAGATTTAATTATTTGAGCTATCAGAAGGCCTCAGAAATGTAAGTAAAAATAGGGATTCAGGAGTTAAGAGACTATAAAAAATTATAAAATTAGTCTCATCCCCAAAAGGCCAGCAGAATGGTTTTAAGAGTGCTTAAAAGCCAGTTGTGCCGAAAAAGGGCATTTTAAAGAATGATTTTTAAGTGGGGCTATAGGTTGAGTTATGATATGAGAAAATTCACAGATTTTCACTAGAATATGAGGAATTTTATGATATTTTTAGATAAATTTTTGGAGCTCTAGATTGAATAAAATACTCTAGTCAAATGTTAAATAATTAATGTCTCTTAATTAGGAGACAAAGTTAGAAAATATCTCAGATATTTTGAGGAAGACAAGTTCAACTTGAATTCTCTTCTTCTTTCCCATGTGCTTCATTTATGAGGGTAATGAGTCATCATATGAGTAACCAAAAGATATTTTATGGGCAGTAGAAAAATTAGAATGCAATACAGTAAGTGTTAGACAGTTCCCTATCTACCCGGTAGAGCAAAATTTCTATTGTGTGACTCAATAAGGTTGAATAATTGGTCAACTAATCCTCTAAGGTGGTGCCATATATGTACTTAATTAAGATGAGAAAATAGTGTCAGAACATGTCTCGGTGGTATAGGGTAAGTCAAGACCCGAAAAGTACCCAATATGGTGCAAGATTGGCTTGATAGGTGGAGTAATAATTAAGGAAATATTTTTGCACGAATTTTTCATTTATTTTCTTCCTATTTTAATGCCAAAAATGATAAAGGGACATGAAAGTGGCAAGTGTACGGTTAGATGGGAAAAAGAAAATATTACGTGTACGGCTAGATGCAAGACACATGTACGGTCGGATGCAAAACACGTGTGTGGTTGGATTAAAGACATGTGGCTTGATGATGTAAGCATGGTGTCATCAAGATGACATAAGCCCTAATCACTCATCATCCAAGTGTTAACACATTAAGCCACATAGCCTAAGATTTGTACATGTGACAAGAGGTAAAAATTGGAGGGCTAAGATTTAGTCTTATGCAAGAAGGGTATGTGTAGAATTATGGAAAGTATGAAGCCTATAAATACCCTACCTTGGAAGAGCATTTGGCAGCCATTTTTAGAGGGAAAACTCTGCCAAAATTTAGAGAGAGAAACGTAGGGGTGAAGGCCAAGAAGAAGGAACAAGATTCAAGCTTCAGGATCAAGGTATGTGATGGTTGTAGTATCTGATTTGATACCTATTTCGAATAAGTTACTCTTTGTATCTGATTCTGAAATTTGGCATGATTAAATTACACTCTGTAAGCTTTAAAATTATGGGTAGAACACTTCATTTGGATATGTGTACGATTTATGGTGATTTTTCAAAGTTAGGGTTTGAAATCTGGAAACAGTGTTTAACTTTTGGCAGAATGTCGAATTCCGTACAATTATGATACTGTTCAGCATAGAATTGGTTCCTAAAACTATTTTTACTTTAAATATCACTCAAGGAGCTTTCAGTGAGACTTGGAACCACTCAGTTTTGATTTTTCTAAAATTAATTATGAATTTTCAAAGTTGAGAAAAAATTCTGAAATTTCTGCGTAAACAGTACCTGCGAAGCAAAATTTTCAGATTTGATCTTCTTGAATCTAAGGCCATCTAAAGTGGTCCTAATTGATAAGAAATGGATCTTAAGGATGGAAAATGATGAGATTTATGTTAGAAAAGCTAGAAAGAAAACCCTAAAAGCAAGAGAAAGTGTTGAGGTTCAAGAGAGCTAGTCTTAAATTTTATGTCTAGTGGTGCTAATAGATTGTATGATCATTATGATTATGTTTAGGACCTTGAAACATCCAAGAGGATGTTTGGTGATATTAACCGAATTCCCACATGGTTAGAAAGTCAAGGGAGTCAAAGGAAAAGTAAGAGGAAAGCTTGAGGTGCAAGGTAGTAAACTTACCTATTATCATTGCTTGATGTTGTATGCTTGTGTGTTGCTGTACAAGAAGTTTAAATATTGTTGTGACATGTATTGGCTATTGTAATTACTATTCATGATGAGTAGATTATGTCTCCATGGTCATGCATCAAGAAGGTAGCTTTAAGCATGTTAATATGTCACTAACTAACAAGAGAATAAGCAAGTTGCATGTAGTGCATTAGCATCCATCTAGCATGATTATGTGGTATTGTTTGCTACTGAGATTCTCCCGAATCTCACCCCTCCCTAACAACCATTTAGGTCAATCAATGATGGGCAATAATGGCATGAGAAGCAAGGAGAAGAAAGTGGAGAATTGTTCATGTTAATGAATCATATCATTACTTAATGTGTAATTCTCCTATTATGTAATTTATATTATGGATGCTAATGATGCCATGTATTTAATTATAACATTTATGGCTTGAATAGAAATGTATAAGAATGAACATGAAAGAGTAAGCTCAAGTTATGTATATCAAAGAAATAAAAAGAATTAAAGTAAAGAGTAGTTAAGAGGTAAAACGTAGGTCCTAGAGTAGTGAGTCTAGTTTGACCCACCAAACGAGCGAGTTAAGTCATAATATTTGGCAAGCAAAGAGATCTGATTTTTCTCTTTAAAATGAGGGATAGTTTTCTTGATTCTGATAATTGAGCAGAAAGTTATGCCTTTCCAAAGTTAGGCAAAAATACAGTAAAATCCGAAAAGACTAAATGAACAGTAACTCTTTCAAAGAAAATTGAGCTCAAATTTTAAGGAAATTAGTTTAGAAACTATTTTTCCTCAAAATCTTATCCAAAGAGCTTTCCGTAGAACTTGGAATCACTTAATTTTCATTTTTCTACAATTAGTTATGAATTTTAAAAAAAATTCACATTTTAAGGTGATAATGAATAGTAACCAGTAAATGAAAAATTTTCAAACTTGATTTTTCATCATTTGTAGCCTTCAAAAGTGATTCCAAATGCTTCCGCAAGGAAAGTTAATTGATTTAAACATAAGGTGTTACAATCAGCCATAGAAGTAGAATATCGAAGCGTTGCTGATGCAGTAACTGATGTGATATGGATTATGGCACTACAGAAGGAGATGAAGATCACAGTTGTTGACCCACCTACTATTTGGTGTGATAATTCAGGAGCTGTTGCATTGTTAGCTAACCTTGTACTGCACAACAAGTCAATGCATTTTGAGTTGGATCTTCATTTCATTAGGGAAAAAGTGGTGACTGGCTTAGTACAAGTGGGCTATGTTCCTTCCTTCAATAAGTTGCTGATGTTTTGACAACGCACAATCAAGTGCTCTGTTTTTCTACTACTGAGGCAAACTCAATGTTAACTCCTTGGAGGATTCTCGTCTCTTTCCTAATGAGGATAATCATGAGTGTTAAATATTTTCCTTTTATCCTGAATAGGGGGAATGTTAGAATAGAGTTCAGAGTTTGTTATAGTTTAGTTGTAAGTCTAGTCAAATAGTCAAACTAACTTGCATACGTGTCATCTTGAGTCTCTAAATTTCAGCTCTATATAAGAGCACCGTCTATACCTCTGGATGCAAGATTAAATAAGAACTAGATTGCAATTTTCTACTCATTTTATATTCTGCTTTTTAGCTCCCTTCACATATATATCAAAAGTCTATGGACTTTAATTCATTGGATGTATTATATATCAACCACCCAATAGTTATAGGTAAATGGGAGTGCTTGCCTTGTGAGCAGACCTCAAAGTCATACTCCATTTCATACGAAACAACTCATGTGGGTGTGTAATTTTGGTAATATCATTTTAGTTTACCCAAAAGAAAATACCACAATTGACCTCAAAAACACATGTATATGGTCCATAATTTTCCTTTTTTCTTTTTTTTTAATAGATTTTACATATTGTATGTGACAAAAAAAGAGTATGTATTTTTGTATGTATATATATATTTCAAAAGACATAAACACTCAATCTAATAATCCACTTTCTACGACAGAAACTTGAAGGGATCATTATGTGCAAATCAAGGTTGCTTTAGTTTATACAAATATAATATAGCACATACATTCAAGCAGTGTGAGGTTTGAATTTTACTGTTGAAATGAAAATCATTAAGCCGATTATCTTTAAATGCTTTTGTGAATATTCTTTGAGATATGAGATATATTGGGATGATGTACCTATAAGATTAAGTTTGTCTTGGCACAACCTGTAATGTTTTATTTTTAGATGAAGCATTATGAGGTCACATGACAAGATATTTTTATCACTGAAAAAGCTAATTACAAGATTTTTTTTTAAAGGAAAAATCACACATAAAGAGGGTGGTGGGCTACCACTAGCGGGAGAAATATTTTTGGGTAATTAGTAAAAGTGAGACTAGTACCACAACCACTTGCATTTTTAAATTATAGGTGACCACTGAGCCACCAAATTTCATTATTATTATTATAGAGAAAAAAATTATATAAATTAACTTCTTACTTTTGATTACGGTTCAAGTATATAGCGACATTTTTTATGAAATATAATTATTTTTCATTTTCTTGATCTTAGCCAAAAGGCTGAGAAAAGTATAACT